ATATCTACGTGGATATCCAACACCAAAAGAAACACTGGAACAGAATCTCTGATGTTGCCTTCTTACATGCATGTTTTATGGTTGACAACTTGAAGGGAAAAAAAAAGTCTACGATTCTATGGCTGAAAATGCAGTACTTTATGTGAAGGTCAGACTAGACAGCTACAACGACCCTCTGCAGCCTAAAACTCAGTTGTTTAATCTTCAGTTACCTAAGTACCTATACAGTGTCAATAACACAGATACCACTTCTCCCTATGCTGTATGCAAGCAGTGACATTTCCAGACACGTAACTCCAAGAAAGATCTTAAGAGCTGAGCCAATTCACTGACTTCCACCTGGGAAGAGTTGGTACTAAGAAGGAGGCCAGTACACAACAGAATCCACAAAGCTAATGTGAACTGCACGCTGTAACTGATTTTCACTGAAAAATCTTCATTTTGTGCCCATTTTGTAAGAACCAAACCTCAGTTACATTAAGAATAGGACTTCCATATTTTGCAATAATATCCTAAAAGAACTAAAAAAGGTCACAAATGTTGTAAGAGACAAGAATGACTGCTGTCATACTTGCCATGAGGCACTGAAAAATGATGCTTGAAACTTATTAAACACACATTTTCCAAGCCAACTCCTACACTGGTTTTTGGTTTTTTTTTTTTTAAGTGTTTTTAAATTATATATTGGTTAGCAATTGAGAAAGGATTAGTCTTGTATTTTAAAAATAATGAAGGATTCACCATACAGTATTTGAAAGCGAATGACGTTCATACTTCAAGTTCAGTCTCTGCCTTGCTCTTAACTTTCCACCAAGCTCCGTATTTTGGCACTTGTTACAGTGCTGACTGAAGAATGGCATTTTATTTCTGCATGCAGAATAACTTCTAATTAGAATTGTTTCAGCTGTGCAGACAGCATTATATTTGTATGTTGCAATTGTATATATATAGTCCTCACAATAATGAGCAACATAATATTCTCAAGTAAGCGTGTTCTAAAGAGATGCAAATAACACTTACGCAAATACACGTAGCACTTAACCACGACAGCATCGTGGTGGAAACTACCCTTCCATATCTTCTAATTACATTTTTCAGCTAGGATCAAGCAGAACTTAAAAAAAAATAAAATAAAAAAGATCACAGGAATATTATTTATAAGCTGTGCGGAGTTCAGGTTTTCCTGAATTGCACTTTAAATATCACAACCTCTGAGCTGCACAGAAAACTCTTCACAGCGCTGTTAAGGCTTTCCAAAGCTTCTACCTGTTTCTACATATTTCTACATATTTCTACAACTCATCATCTAGATGCAGGATGAGAACAGTTCTTTAAACTTACAAAAGAGCACGTATTTTGGAAGATGACTTGTCACCAATGGATTACTACACACAGCTAAATCACAGGATCACAGAATGGCCAGGGTTGGAAGGGACCTCAAGGATCATGATGCTCCAACCCCCCTGCCACATGCAGGGCCACCAACATCCCCATTTAATACTAGACCAGGCTGCCCAGGGCCCCATCCAACCTGCCCTTGAACATCTCCAGGGACGGGGCATCCACAACCTCTCTGGGCAGCCTGTTCCAGCATCTCACCACTCTCTCTGTAAAGAACTTCTCCCTGACATCCAACCTAAATCTTCCCTCCCGCAACTTAAAACCATTTCCCCTTGTCCTTCTAATATCTATTCTTTCAAAGAGTTGATTTCCCTGTTTGTAGGTTCCTTTAGGTACTGAAAGGCTGCAATGAAGTCACTCCACAGCTTTCTCTTCTCCGCAATCAAAATCAAATGTAGGAACAAATGTAGGAAATCAAACCAAATGTAGGAATGCTGTTCATACAACAAATGTAATTTGTTTTTCTTTCAGAATTTACAGACTGCCCCTGCATGCCTTATAACACATACTGCACTACCTTAGTAAATCTAAAACCAGGTGAATTCTGACTCAGCTACACGTAAATCTGCCCCTTACTAACGTTATATAAACTATACTCTGTTTTGTTGGAGTTTGGATTTTATGTTATATAAATTGTCTCTGTATCTCTCCTGTGACTTTAAGCAGCCATGGTTAGGACGATCAGCACAGAACCACAGAGCACATCTGGAGTGGGGAAAACCATCACAGCTGTGTCACAAGGAATTAAGCACCTGTAGCTGTTTCTGGCCCCTTTCTGAAACTTCTTGTGATGTAAATTCAATGTCCATTTGAAACTGAGAGCGGTGAGGTTACATTGCTAATGCATTTGAATGCTACCAAAATCACTAAGGGTTACCTTCGCCCTCCCCCTCCCCAGATCCTATACGTTTGCAACCTGCTGCACTGGCTGACTCAATACCAACTTTCGTTGTCATAAAATGAAGGTTCTCAAGGTATTTTCAAATCTTCATTAGATACACTTGGCAGAAACTGGAAAATAAGAATTGTTTAAAATGCAACCCTTACTACTTTTTGAGATACATGAAAAGAGATGGGGAAAAAAAAAAAAAGAACCAGGAGTTGCAAAGAGTTCCTAAACAAGATCAGCTCTCAAAAGTGGGATTCCCACCCCACCTGCATGCTGAGCACAACAGGACTCACAGCAGGCACGATACCCAAAACATTCAGCTCTTCAGTTTAGTTCTGAAGAGAAATCATCTCATCTCTACACACCAGGGCAATCTCTAGCCCAGGGTGAGCCTATTCCTTGGATCCATGGATCCCCAAAAGGGAACCATCCCTGCTGATTGCTGGGAAGGATTTCAATTCCTGTCTAACCCTCAAGCTATCTAAAACTATTTGTTAAGACTGAAAGCGACCTCCAGCCACAAAGAGGTTATAGGTGCCCCATGAAACACTACAATTAAGTGAAAAATGTGCTACGTATTCTAGTTCTCAAGGAACTGCAACCTCAGTAGAACCATCTTCTGACTGATATCTCAGGTAGAAAGACAGATCAAGAAAACCAGTCCATATTGATCAGTACACTATAAATTACGTTATTATTATTATTCAAAACATCCAGTGTTACACATTAGTTTTAATCCAGATGCTGCTTAAGCAACACAGATATGTATTCTTCATGAAGAATATATAAGTACCTTTGTAACAGAGTGATACACTCCTTCAAAACTACTGCTTTTGTGTCTTGGTTTTTAACCTCTCCCCTGAAATACAAGCACCTATGACAGTTCTTTCTATCACCTACTAAAACACTTTTTATCATCCTTCTTCTCTTTATGACCAATGATACTTCATTTCTGAAGACAGTAACAAAAATTTAAGAACCTGAAATTCCTGAACATGTGACTTGCAAAACAAATGTGAAACTAGAAGGGTTGCTCGGAAAGTAATGCTTCCTATTTTATTCTGCTGGTCCAACACCGCAGAGGTGGATGTTGGTGGTATGGCAGCAGAGGTTGAACCTTCCCAACAATATTCCATTACATGCTGTTACTGTGCAATAGATGGCAGCACAGGGGCACTCTAACACAATGGTGTCTGACATGGAAATGAGTATGAAACAAAGAGCTGTCATTTAACTCCCTCACATGGAAAAAAAATGGCATCCATTTACATTCATGACGCTTGCCGAATGGTTATGGAGACCAAAACAGTAGCTGTGAGCACAGTGAGGCAGTGAGTGCTGCATTTCAACACTAACACAGATTTTATGAGTGCAGAACGCAGGCTCTTCTTCATCACTAGTGAAAACACACGGCTAATGGTGGGACTGTGTTGAAAAAGAGTGCTATGTAGCTGAGAATTTCCTCTATCACATAGTCATTATCATGCTCTTTGTATCTACTGTAGGTTAAATGGAAGTAAAAAGGAGGCATTACTTTCAGAACTACCCACAGATATACATTTTTGAAGGAATAATTTCTTATCTATTCAGGAAATCAGCTGTGATTATTGAGTGATACCAACCCACTGAAAAGTCACCACTTTGTAGATCTCTGTTACTTTTCTTTTGCAGAGATGGAAAATCACTATGAAATTTATTCTGTGGTCTGCAGACCAAACTACATATTTTTCACACAACTGCAAGTTCTTAGGCATACACATTATTAAATATGATAGCCCCTAAGGTTACAAAGTGAACATTATGATCACTGAAGTGAAAATCGAATTATAACACCTTCACAACAAGGATCATAGAATGGCCTGGGCTGAAAAGGACCACAATGATCATCTAGTTTCAACCCCCCTGCTATGTGCGGGGTCACCAACCACCAGACCAGGCTGCCCAGAGCCACATCCAGCCTGGCCTTGAATGCCTCCAGGGATGGGGCATCCACAACCTCCATGGGCAACCTGTTCCAGTGTGTCACCACTCTTAATACACTTGGTTCTCTTCTCTAATACAGTTGGTTCTCTTTAATATCCACATAAAGAATTTAACTACAAAGAAAAGACACGACGGACATGCTAAGCTGCTGCATGAGAGCTGTGGTTTTGAGAAGCGCTATGCCGAGGTGAAGGCAACCACAATAAAGACTGAACGCTGAGAGGTAGAAATTCAGAAAGGCAGGGCAGTCTCTGAGCAAAGCCCGTCCCTTCAAGGCGAGCTTTAAAAAAAAAAAAGGAACAAACGGCAAAACGTGGCCACATTCGCCGCTAACGAAGGCGCTCCCCACACAGCCGGCGCTGCACGCAGCCCGAGGGCGGCTCCACAGCTCCGCGCAGCGCGGCCCCCCCCTGCCGGCAGCACCGTCCGCCCGGTCCGCGCTGGGTGGGGATGGGTTCATGGCGGGTTAATGGTTGCACTGGATCATCTTTGAGGTCTTCCCAACCTCAATGATTCTGCGGCTCAGTAGCTACACGCGTAACCCCTGTTCTGAGAAAATGCCGGCAGGGACGCAGAGAGCCTTACAGCTGCGGAGCAAACGGCGCCGCCGCTACGGAAGGGGACCGAGCGCGCCTTGCATGGAGAAGGGCGGCGTCAGCGCGGCACAGGCGGCAGCAGAACCCCGCCCCGCCATCGGGAGCCCCGCCCCGCCCCACGGCGCCCTCACCTGTCGGGGTTCCGTCGCCGCGGTGCCCCCCGGCCCCTTTCGCGGCTGCTGCCGGAGCGACGCGGCGGCCGACGGCTCCTTAGGCGGGAGACCGCTGCACCGCCTCGCTGCCGTCTGCAGCCGCCATCGGGCGACCAGCCGCGCGGCGGCCCGGCTGCAGCCCGGCGCCGCCATGTTGTCCTGCGTGGTGGGCGGGGCGCGAACTCTGACCCCGCCGGGCGCGTGCGCGCAGGACCCGACTGAGGCGGACAGCCCGCCATCTTAGCAGGGAAGGAGAGATGGAACTGCACGGCCCGGCCGGCCGCGGCGCTCGCGCCCGTCGAGGAGAATCCGGGGCGGTCCGCGCGGCCCCCGGGCCTGCTCCGCACCACGCGTGGCGGGCCTGGCCGAGGAGGGATCCAGCGGCCCCTGCCGGACGTGGCGCTTCGAGCTCCGCTGCTCAGAGGAGCAGCCTTGTGACACAGCCTGAGAACACCGCGCTGCACAGACACTGCATGGCTCACACATGGGTTTTATTGAACTTCGGACATGTAATTGAGCATATATACACTGCAGCTGGCGTGCTAATAAAGGCGTGGGGAACCTTTTTTCTTCTATACATCTGCAGCAGTTGAAGGAGCACAGATCAAACACCACCATTTCAAAGCTTGGTTCCAGTTCTAAGTGTGGCGATAAAAACATTTGCCAATAATTGTGATCTTACCCACATCTTGTGTCAGAAACTGAAAACAGAATCTGAAGAGAACAAGGGCACAAAGCAACAAGCAGGAGAGCAGCCCTGGAAGGAGAGCTGTGCTGCAGCACAACGCTGGGCACTGCTTTTAGGCGTTAACAAGAGCAGGACGCTACAGGTCCTTCACAGCTACAGAAAAAAAAAAACACAAACAAACAGATTTTACCAATGGCCGGGCTACAGGGAAAACAACATCAGCACTTGAAAACAATTTGATGCCTAACAGAACAACTTTCACCCCAAGCTCATCCTCACATTTTTGTAGGTGTAAATGGGAGACCACTCTGTGAATTAAGATAATTCACAACTGATCAAAAGTTCAGAACAGTACATCTTCCCCATTATTTAGGACAAAATGCAATGTTGACAGCATCATCATAGCTGAACTGAACCAGCACTAATAGGCAACTTGCTTCTAATAGTCAGAGCCTTCCTAGTTGGATAACTCGTGGACAAATCTTAAGCCTGCTGAAGGCCTTTCTTTAAACTGGGAGTGCCCCTCTAAGTCCAGTGTCCCATGCAGGCAACACTTAACTGAAATAATGACAAGGGAGTGAAGTAGCAAGGTTCAGTTTGGCAGCAGCATAGATTCAAAATGGCTAAATTGAACAGTAGTTACAGATTCAGAAAGAATTATGTATCCACATGTATGTACAGTATAATTAACTTCTTCAAATAGTTTTTCATTGCTATATTTTTTAAGGTTGCCTTCAAATAAGGGATAAGTCCTTTAAATGCTTGAAAGGCATAAAAATTCCCCTCCCCACACAAAACCCCAAACAACCAACATATTTTAGTTTCAAAAATAATCTGAACCCACAACAAGCTTGTTATCAGTTAATCTGGTAAAACAACTACGTGCTAAATAAAAGCACATCTGGTGGAAAGAGCACAAAGAATGTTACAAGTGTGCTTGGTTCTTGCTTGCAGCAACTGGCAGTGGGGAGCAGGATAGAGGCAGGAATCTCAGTGGGTCTCCTCCTGTGTCTCTTCTGCAATCGTTTCTGTGGCACTGGCATTGGCAGCTGAGTTCAGAACTTCTCCAAAGTCTCCGCTGGCAGGTTTGCTTCCTCCAACTTTAGACTGAAGCATAATAAAGACCCTCAATGTAAAACTGCAGTTATTTGGCATGCCAGTTAGCTGCACCTCTGCACAAAGCAGCTTAATAACCCTCCTCAGCTCAGCTTTTCCAGAACTGAGCTACATCCAAATAAACTTCAGATTTTTTAGACAACACCTTAAGAATCATAAGCATGCTTCAAGATACAAAAAGCATGAAACAGCCCAAATTCCAAGGAATCCAGGCATGCAGCCTTTCAGGCCATTTATGTTTTAAAAGATTCAGAGATGAAACTAGTTGCTGTATGCTCTGTATGGATCTCAAATGGTTTTCAGTTGAGGCTGAGAGCACATCTTGAGTTCCACAGTGAAACCTGGCAGCTATGATGCTTTCACAAGGCAACACATTTACCTCTTTATTTCTCTCTGCAGTATGTATTGTGTGCTATTGTGTGAGTTTAGCTTGCTAGACAGTCATCAGAGCTGCATGCTATTGTTTGCATGCTTCTCATCTAACCCAGTGTGCCCAAAAAAGTAAAATCTAATTACTGGTACTAATTGTTTTTAAAAGCTGAGCTTGCTTTTTTGTTTCCTTGTTTAATTTGAAGAAGCTACTAATAGCCAAGTCAATTTATTTTTACAAACGCTGTCTGCAAATTTAAGATACAAACATCTTGCACATTTTATGTCAGAATCAAGACAAGCATCCCAAGCTGTACTATATATTTTCAATATATAATACTAGGTATGTTATACTAGCTGTTTGTGGAGGTTAGATACGTGTTAAACAATCTAGTTAAGGCATTTTCCTGGTCTGTTTTCTTCTCCTCAAATCATTAGGCCGAGAAACTATTTCCACTGTACTTAAAAAGGCATCACCTGAACACCTTTGACAATTTACCAGTACCTTTAAAATTGGAACAAAAAAGTTACCCAGAGCTCACAAAGGTCTTTGCTCCACATTCACAGCTCCACAATCACCAAGTAATGCTTACCTTTAAGGTTTCAACTTTCTCCTCAAAAGATTTGAAAGTAGGAGAATTTCTAGGAGACAAAAAGGAACCACAGAATTAAAAACATATCTAGTCAACGTATAAGTATCAGAAAACAAGCAAACAGTGGCTTTTTCCAATGTCAACATGCATTTTGTTTGGGGCTTTTTCCTTGTTTTTAAGAAAAGCCCAAAATACCTACTTACACTACAAAACTAAAATTCAACAACACTCAAGCAGAGCTCATTTATATCATTGCAATTAACAATTGCCAGTCTCAACACTAGGTTCTTGTATCACAACGTGGAAGGGAAAACAAGCAATTTTTCAGATTTAGCTTATTTATTTTATTTAGCTTATTTTTAGCTTATTTTTCCCAATGAATTTCAGCAGTTTTCTGGCTTATGGGTTAGAAGACTTTGTCATCCTAAATAAAGATTGGCTGTCAGATTTTTTTTTTTTTGCTTGTTCTAGGAAAATAATTTAACAGGCTGTGTGTTTAATTAACAGACCAGTTCACAACAGCATTTTCTGCTAATGTAAATTTACGGGAGACTCCTCTTGCCTTTTAATTGCTAGAGACAGCTTGATTCTAAATGCACAAGAGCAGGACAGCTTATGATGTTCAATATAGAGGTTCAGTGTACTGTTATTACTAGGATCAAAGGAGTGCCTTAATACTCCAATTAGCTGTCAATGCTGCTTGCAGATTTGTACAATAGCTTGCACAGCTTTCTGCCTCATGCAGAGTGGAAAATGCTTGCCTTCACTGGACCAAGACTGAAAACTGGAAGCAGACAAAATAAAGTTAAAAATGAAAAAAACTTCCAAAAAGAAGCTTCCCTTTACCCCCTTTGCTTGGTGGCTGTGTATGCCAGCCATGCCTGGATGCACTCTGTGATTTGAGAAAGTGCACAGGTATTCATAAATGGATTCTCTCAGGAGATGAAGGAACAGTGTGAAGCAACAAGAGGCAAGCACTGAAGTGAGCTAGGCACTTTTTGTGAAACATTATTTTCTACTCACTGTCACAGACAGTTCTAAAACAGACACCAAGCAACTGTCTTTTAAACTTGCACAATATTGCATGTCTAACAAGAAGGTGAAAGTTGTTATAGCTCTCCAAACAGCAGGAAAGCACAGTTAGTCACATTCCAGGTGTGCAATACCATCACTGTTAAGCAGAAATAAAAACAAATTTCATCCTACACATTAGTATACGAAATCCAGTATTTTATCTGTTAAATTCCATTTTGATTCCACGCTTGACAATAAATAAACCCAACAGCTGTTTTATGCATACATTACCTCATAATAGGCATGCTAATTGAATGTTGTATGGAGCGTATACTAAATTGCCAGCATTAAGGAAAAAAAGAAAGCAAGAAGTTAGTTGAAATGACAGAGGAAAAACTGGCTTAGAAAGATGACTTTTGGACACCACCTTTGGTAAACAGTCCATCACATCAAATGTTTGGTTTTGCTTTTTTAAGTTGCTTAGCCATGCACGCACACACACACAAGTACAAAAGAGCAAAAGCTGCAACAATTCTTTCCTTTCTAAAAATATTCAAGTGCCATGCTTGTTAGTAAGTGTGTGTTGTTTTTTTTTAAGCTGCAGTCTGTCTACCTGTTAAGTCTTCAAGCAATGAGACATGCTGCATTTACAGTTCTGATGATATCAAATACAAGGCAAACACTCAACAGCTATCAGTCAAGTCCTCCTGCTCCAAGGATTAGTCTGACAGTCAGAGTTCCCACTTCACTACAACACAGAAGTTTCATACTCATCAATATAAAATCAACTATTAGGAGAGAGCAGTTCCATCCACCTATATTCAAGATCAGCTTCTGGGTAGGGACAAGGGGGAAAGTTCTAGCTCCAATGCTGTTCTGAAACTCATGAAAATTCCTGTAAGCTGCCCACACTGCCATTCTGTAACTGTTTGTCTACTGACAACATGTACCTATTCCTATAAAATGACTGCAGTTGTATTATGGAGCTCCCAGGTAACTTCTAAGACCAACAGTTTCATGCGCTGAAAAATCAGTATTTACTCTTCAGACAAACTAGCCTTACATATTAAATGTTTGTCAAATATCACAGCAGCAAGTTAGAAAAACCTGTTTTTCACAGTAATTCAGGATGTTGAATCTTGGCTGGGCTTTATGGCATCTTTCAAGAGAATCTGTTTCAAGCAATTGCCAGGGTGCGGTGCAGCAACTAAAATCCTCACAGGATTCACCTTCAGAAGCCAAAGTAGTATCGCAGCACAATGGGAAGTACATTCACAGATGCCAAAGGGCTCCATGTTCATTGCACAGGAAGGTATCAGAGGCTCATTGAAACAACAGTGATAGAAAGAAAAAACACACACAAACAAATTGCCTTAAGGTTGGGATCCCTTAAGGCAGATGCACATCTGAAGGATTTTGTGGGTGCAGAGTACTGGGAAACAGATTCACAGAGGCTGGATGCTGTCCCACCACATCAGCCATATGAGCCACGTTTCATCCCCTTACCCTAAAGCCCTTTTCTGCTGTTTCTCATCTTCACTGGTGTTTTGAGTTGAGCCAAGTTTTTTCAGAGCGCACAAAGATGACAAGCTTCACGAGCACCATCTGCATTCTTTGCTCTTTGACTCAGATTACTGACATTCTGGTTTTGCTGCTCTTGCCAAGTTTCAGCATAGAAGTAGGTTGATGTTACCTAAATCTTCATGCAGTCACGCTGAGCCACTTCCACTTACCCTGCAAGAAGTGCCTCTCTAATTGAGAAGTTAAAGACTAAAGAGGGTGAAAATTACCTCTGTTTCTCCACATTTACAATCTGCTTGCACAGAAAAGCAGCAAGCTGTGTTATACTGCTTATCTTTTAACGGCTACCTAGAGAACTT